AAAAAAAGGTACAATTTACTTTTTATACATAGATTCAAAAATAAAATAAAAACCCAACAATCCAATCAAATATATATTGAAGAGATTTTATAGCAAAATATATATTGAAGGGGTAACTTATGGGGTTTCTTTTGAAAATAAATAAATAAATAAAGAGATGGGCTACAAAAAAAGAAAGAAAAAAAGAAAAAAATGGAGGCATATATGTTTTTTAGAGGGGGCCAATTGAAAAATATTTTCAAAATTATAGGACAAACGGTAAGTTTTGAGAAATTGAGAGTACACACTCGATCGGTCACTAATAACAATGAGTTTGATTGTGTGAATATAATTTTTTGGTACCATCACTCAATGGTTGTATCATATGATATAAGAGTTCGTAAGAGTATCAGAACAGTAGTATTGTGTGTTGACATAGTATTATCATGTTGAATATTAATAAATGAGTAGAGCTGTAAAAAGAAAATGACTACCATCATATCAATGTTGATAGTAGTGATATGTTATGATTCAGGAAAATGACTTAGACCCTCGGGGTGCTAGGGTTGTCCCTGATTGGTGCAAAAACAGTTTTTTTTTTAGATTTCAGCCAACCACACGCTGCCACGTCACTGAGGGTGCCACTGGGGGTCGGAAGCAATGCCCTATGATTCAAAGTTCTATTGATTAACGATGATCTGATTTTCTAGAGTAAATTCTATCTGTGCCAAATTGGGAAGTGAACATGATTTGTTGCTCAAGAATTTGAAACCAAAGATTATTTCTAGCTCACTCAAATCTACATTTATTTTTTCTTTTTAAATTTTTTTGTACGAGAATATAAATTGACTAGTCAGGTATAAGGCATGTGAAATGAACAAGGATGAGTCCACTTGATTATGATAAATCGTTTAGTATGGTTTTTGGTTTTTGTTTTTTGTTTTTTGTTTTTTGTTTTTTGTTTTTTGTTTTTTGTTTTTGTCCTTGTTTTTGCTCCTAGTATGTCTCCCATTAAATGCTACAATTTAACTGTGCAATCTCTTTACATGTATTGTGTGTTTTGGAGCTATTTGCAATGCTTAAAACTAAGAAAGCTATTGAAAGCAAGAAAGCAACTAGCTGTTTCTAAAACAGGAGATCTATCACATATTTTGAACCATACATTAGGTCGTGTTGCCATCTTCTTTAAGATTTTTTTTTGTCCAAGATGCAAAGAAGAAAGAAAGAAAGAAAGAGAGAAAAGCGAAAAAGCTCATACATCAGTCAAAATTACAGAAATTTAAGAATAAAAAAAATATTTAATAAGTTTTAAATGAGTCGGTGTGAATTATTAAAGAGGGTAACTATATAGCACTGGATAAATTTCACACCTCCTGAACAAATGGAGTCAGATAGCAAATGCTATGTGTACATATAGAATGTGTTATATCAAAAAATTAATGGATTCAAAAGTCACTTTTGCAAAGATCTAAAGTAATCATTAATGTAGTGAAAACCTACTAACAAAATAAAGATTCCATTGGTTCCAATAATTTTTCCTAAAGAAGGATTCATGTAACCGATCATATTTAATGGGATTTAAGGCTTAGTTTGGTGGTATAATATCATTTTCATATGCAAATAATTGTTGGAGTTTGATCCGACATTCCACATGAAGTGTGAAAGTTGTTAAAAATTTCAAAAACCAAAGTGAAAATAAATCATGCCAACAAAAAATGGAAAAAGATTAGGCCAAACATTGGTGGTGAAAAGAATTGCTTTTGCAAGATTTTGTAACTTATTCTTGAAAAACGGCGTCGTTTTAACAGTTTTGAGCCATTTGAGCCACACTTTTTGTGGCCCTCTACCATTGCTCCTTATTCTTTCCCTTGCCCAAACATTAAATTTTTAAACAATAGAGAAGTACTAAAAGGCAAGAAGAGAAGGAGAAAAAGAACACCATATGTGTCCACTTAAAATATTTGATACTTGGAAAAATACTTTCAAGTAAACCGGTGCGTGTATACATTAGTATGTAAGGTGTTTAACATATATGAAAATTACATTTCTATTTTTTTTTTTTTTACTACAATCCCATAAAAAAATTAAAAAAAAAATTCTAGAAATAAACTTCTATGCAATTAATTGGTGCCAAGAGAAGGAGATTTCAAAAAATATGGGCAAAATTTGCACTTCTAGACAACATTAGAACCTTTTACATATAAAAAATTAAAAATAAAAAAATGAAACGATGACAGGCTGTGAGAAAATAAATCGCAAATAAATAAATAAAGATAGATAGTCCAAAACTTGTGACAAACTTAACAAATAGTTTTGTTAGACATTTGTCATTGCAAGCACTATAGATTGGAGAGTGCATAATAAACAATGGTTACCAAGTGTTACAAGGTGTCATTGATGTCTCACCTCACTCACTCATAATTGTTTACTCACCACACACAAACTTCCAATTAACTTCATACAATACAACTCATATGGACATTAACATGTTACTTCTCGTTTGTAGTAAACATGGAAAAATAAAGGAAATTTAGAGAGGAAGGTGAAAGAGCAAATAGAAAACTACAAAATAATTATACATTTGAGAAAAGGGTATCCAATTAGACTTAGGTCTCATTTGGGAACAGGCTAATTTAGTAACTTTTTAGCTATTTGACTAAAATATGAATTAAAAAAAACTAGTATGTTTGGGATGACTTTTTGATTTTTTACGAAAAGATGTGCAAAAAGTAGAGAGAAGAGAGAATCTTTGACTTTTTAGTATGGGTTATTGGCTTTTTGGCTAATTTAGTAACTTTTTGACTTTTTAGCTAAAAGAGAAGGTTCCCAAACGAGGCTTTAATTTAATTTTTTTATTTTTTATTTTTAATATAATTTTAATAGATATATTTTAGGGTTTTTTTTTTTTTTTTTTTTTTTTGGAATACTCTGCCTTCTGAGATTGCATTCCCATAGATGTGTTGGTGCATTTTCTTGGTAATTTTAGTTAGTCCACTAGTTTATAGGTGTATCTTACTCTTATTACTATATTTTTTCTATTATTTATTTAGATAAACCTTTTTATCTTTGAGATTTCGATGTGCGTCTTACTCTTTTGTTTATATTATTTTGGGAAAATTTTTATGGTATTGGACTGCCTAGACAATTAACTTAATATAATAACTCTCCTACATTATATAACTAATGATATTTCTATATTCATGCTTTGATATTTATAGCTTTGGACAAATTACACTTTACATCTTGTACTTTACACAACCTCACTTAATTTCCTGATCTTTTTAATTGTTTCAGTCAATTCCTTACATTTTCAATCAATTAGAATTGAGCCCAATCAAATAAGGCCAGTTAAAAAATGGATGAAAAAAAGTAAATGGAGGCACTAAAGTGAGATTTTAATAAAAATAGAAGGGTTCTAAGAACTAAAGTTGAGGGGCTAAAGTAAAATTTCAATAAAAGTGCAAGGGTGTCATATGTGATTGATACTATCACGTGGCTGTCCTTCACTAGTTTTCGCAACCCCATTTGGATCAAATTGCAATTTGACTAAAAAATTAGAGAGTTGACTGAGATAATTAAAATATTAGTGGTCAAAGTGAGATTAAATATAAAATGTAGAAGTTCAAACTAATTTTTACACAATAATTTAAGAAAATGTATAACGTAGAGACATTATCATAAAGGTGCACTTGATATGAATTCATAAAAGTTTTAATCAAGAGAAAAGACCAACTAAAGTTATTTTTAGGGAGTTTTTTTTTTTATAAATCCTATTTTTAAGAGTTTTATTCTGTCAAACTCATATTCTTTTTGACTATTTCATTAGATTCTATTTGAGATAAAAAAACTAAAACACATTCAATCTCTCATTCTCCCTATTAATGTTGATATTTAATGTTGATTGTTATTATGCTTTGGTAGTTTCCATACATCAGGATGTTGACTATCATTATATTCATATTAATTTAAAATTAATTTTTGTCATTGTGTTGTCAATTATATGATGTGAATATTCACATTATGTACATGATGTAAATATTCATACTAAAACGTACGAATGTGAATGTTCCCATCAATATATTAGATGAGAGAGAATGTTCATATATTGTGAATAAGAACGTGTTGTCAATTAAAAATATAATGAACGTTATTTTTAATGCATTGTCAATTAAAAATAAAAAGGTCCATATGTTATGAACATTCACATCACTACATTAGATGGGAGAAAATTTTTCTGAAAGATGTTGTGAACATTCACATCAGATGAGAGAGAATATTCATATTATTTTTAATGTGTTGTCAATTAAAAATATATTCACATCAGATGAGAGAATGTTTACGTTATTTTTAATGTGTTGTCAATTAAAAATATGTTCACATTATATAATAATATAAAATAATAATATCAATGTTATTTAATTTGTGTATAAAATTTCCTATGCCTTGGTCTTTTTCCTTCTCTCTCCTCCCCTCAACATTAAATATAAGGGTATAAAAGTCTAAGAAAATAGTGTAAATCAAGAAAAAAGACTTTATGAAATAAAAGTATAAATGCATGAGACTAAGTGGATTAACAAATTCCTTCATGGACTTCTTGGGTTAGAATACTTCTAAACGAGATTTATCAATAAAAAACTTTTATTTTTATTTACTCATTATTACTCTTGAATGAAACTTCTTTATTGAATTATTAGCCCCCTTAGAATATAATCCCTTAAAATAAAATCCCATTTCGCTCCTATGTTTCGACAAAAGACATTTTCATGAAAAAAAAAAAATTTTGTAAATAAATAAATAAATAGATAAGATCAATATATTTCATGTTTTGTTGCAATCCTGAAAATTATGGTGTTGGTTGCAGTCATAGTGTGAGGTGGTGGTGGTGGGTAAGACAGGTAGTTAAATCCAAAAATTTAACTGAAAGCATGGACCTCATACAACTCTAAAGAATCTTAACAAAAAGGATATTCAACAGCAAGCTTAACCTAAAAACAAAGTTTTAAAGTAAAAAGGCTGAATCATGGAAGAATAAAATCCAACAACCCTGCACTCCCATTCATTCTATATAAATAGAACAATATAAATCTTGAATCAACTGTTTAAATGTAGTAAGAAATATAAATGAAGACAATTGCAACAGATAAATATGTAGCTAGAACTCTAAAATCCAATTTCACAACAAAGCATAAACACCACCTACCTCCTAACGCAGACAGGTCATCAGCCTTATTGCTGGTTACAAGCCATACGGTGCATAGCTGGCTCATCGTCATCATCATAAGCCTCACGCTGTTGGTGCCGTTCCTTCCACCTCATCTCTTCCTCAATGTTGACATCATGCAAAGTGGTTGCCTCACACTCATCCAACATCATATCCGATAACTGCTTGTTTGGACTCGGTGGTAGAATTGCCTCTAAAGCCTGGAACTTGTCGGGGGAAAGAAATCCGGATTGTGGGAAATCCACATTGAAGTGGATGAAAAGCTGGCCCTTCATGAATGGCCTCTGGTGGTGTGGCATTCCCTCATTATTGATCGCCTTGGACTGACCTATATTGTGAAAGATATGATGAACAAATATAGATTACGGGTTTCATGGAAAGATCAATCCAACAGAAAATCGGTAAATAACACAAATAGTCCACAAAGTACACTATCTATTTCAGTTTGGTCCCTAACCTTTAATTTGTATCAAATTCATCTCTAAACTTTACACATTAATTCAGTGTGATCCCTTCCAATAACTACTGTCAACTTTAGACAGAAAATGCTGATATCATGCTTATATCAAGCTTTGAAGGGTATACGTATATCTAAGCCAAATAATATTTGATCGAACAATTGACAAAATATTAGGGTTTGACGCAGCACACAAAAATTGGTGTTTTGGGGTGGATTTTAAGGATTATCTCAGCATATTAGACGAACAACGGATACAAATTAACTTCTTGTTGTGATAAGGGAGAATCAGAAAACTAATCCTCGTCATTACAGTATGTACATCAGTTTTTAAAAATTAATGTGCTTGCAGATGTTGAATTCTTGTGTTTGCCGTATAGTTTAGTGTTTTTTTTTTTTTTTTTTCTTTTCTTCTTTTAAATCCAAAATATAGTATATTATCTAATCAGCATTTCAGTCTACAGTTCATGACAGCTATAGGAGGGGACCAAATCGAATTCACGCATGAAGTTTAAGGACGTAATTGAAACAAATTAAAAATTAGAGACCAAAATGAAATAAGTAGTTTACTTTATGGACCGTTTATGTAATTTACCCGAAAGAAAAAAAAAAAAATCACGATGCTCTTCAGTCTTGTACCAGGCTTGATGATCTCGCCAGGATTTGATTTGATTAGGAGCTGTCTGCCATCAAGATGAGTTAGGGCAAACTGAAACCCACAAAGAGCTTCCGTTAAGCTGAGTGAGTGTTCTACATAGAGATCATCAAACTTCCGCTTGAACTTGGGGTGCTCCTTTTGATGCAATACAAAAACAATATCTCCCGTAACTGTATCAGGCTGTGGACCACCAAAGATAACAGAAAAGGTTAACAAATGTTGCTGCTGCAAATGAATCAACAATCACAAGAACAAAACAAATGTCAAAATAATTGAACTTTCATCAGTCATCGGTAAGAAATTGAAAGCTGCATGTTTTGGCATTCTTTTATTAAGATGTGGTTGAAAGACACTCGCGCAACATTCAAACCAAACTACGATTTTCAACACCAGATAGAACTTAAAACCATTCTCCAGTCCAGTGCAAAATTTGGTTACCAGGTTTTTGGGAGTTGGACATGATTTCATGAAATTTCTGTGTTGGATAAGATAGAAGGATGAGTATCACTATTGAAACCCTGAGCAAACCAGTCAAGGCCAGTTTGTACAGCACAACACAATAAAAGAAGTCGGCTCTGGAGAGACGGAAATAATGGAAGACTATATAACTCCCTTTAGTTTCTTTGGTTACCTAAACTCTTGGGTTACGAGAGAATACTTACTTTCTTTCATTGCCTAGCCTCTCGGGTTGTGAGAAATTTTCTTTTGTAGGCTAGGTTTTGGTGATTTCCTTGTTTGATATTTTCTTTCCAAGCCCACCTTAGTCTAGGTTGGTTTTATGTGTCTCTCTCTGAGAGAAAGTTGCCACTTGGTGCATCTCGAGTCTCATTGTATATTTCTTATTTTTGGCAATAAAAAGCTTGATTAAAAAAAGAGAAGAAAAAAAGTAATTCAATAAAGATTGTGAAAATCTAAATTTTCTTACAGCCTCGTCAGCTTCTCCCTTGAACACAATCTTCTGACTATTCTGCATCCCTTTCTCAACATGCACCTCTAGCACTTTCTTTTCCTGGGTGACCTTGTTACCTTTGCATTGTGGGCATCTATCTCTCTCACTGATGACCTCTCCTGCACAGTTGAGAGATGCAGCCAAGAACTTGAAAAAACAGAAATGAAAGGAGACAGAACAGAAATTGCGAAAGAAGTATGTGTTTGTTTAGCACCTGAGCCTCTACATTCAGGGCAGACATGCTGCATCTGTTGGATCATGCCTGGTGCTATCTGTCGTTTTGAAACCTTCATGCCAGTACCATGGCAGCCATAACATCTTCCAGATGTATCACTCTTAGATCCTTTCCTGATAAATTATAAATACAAATCAAAATTCAGTCACAAAAACTTATCACAAAGTTGAGCCCCAGCCAATGACCAAAAAAAAAAGCGACAAAAACAGATTACGCAGTTAAATAGGCCTTGTATCTCACTTTATGACCACTGAAGAACAAACTTGTTCAAAGTTGTGATATAAATATAGGTAAAAGTTCTTCACTAAAATAACAGTTTTTTACAAAGTAAAAGTAAGTCCTGAATATTTACTAAATTATTAGCAATGAAGTTAAATATCATAAATAATTCAGCAGCCCGCCTAACATCGTGCTGAATTTTTTTTTTAATTTTTTACGACTGATGAAAATTGTTTATTGTTATATAATTAGTGTTAATAACTGTTTCAGGTACCCATGTAATGTTGATGTCATTTTTCCTCCATTTTTGTTTTTGCTCTTATTTTTTCCCTCTTCTATTTATTTATTCTTATTCATTTATATGATTTTTGGGGAGGCTGACGGGATTTGTGGGATGACCAACATCAGCCTTTCCACTTCTTTCGAAGGCGGTTAAAAAGATCAAACAAAAACATTTCGTGTTTGAAAAAAAAAAAAAAAAAACTACTCTTCCTTGTACTCCTAGCCTTTGAAGCTAAGGTCACTTACTTTAAGATGCTATTCAAATATGAATTAAGCCACAGACAATCACACCATATCTTTAAACATGACAGTATATTTTTTATTTTTCATCAGATCCTGACCCTAATTATAAAATTTAAAAAAAAAAAAAGGGAAAAATAAATATATTAGGAAATATCATTAGTATCAGGATTTGCTATACATGCATCATGCAAGTGTTCTCAATGCTTTTACAAAAAACAAAAACAATTTTTTCTTCTATATAACCATCAATGTCCACAAATCACCACAACTATTTTAAAACAAGGACCACATGTTGATTAAACCAGACTGGAAAGAAAGGTAAAAATATGTGCCATCCAAGCAGCCAACTTCATACATGCACCCACAGATTAATCCACATTAAGATTACCTTACAATAATTAAATAAATCAAAATGGACCAAACAAACATGACCAATAATAGTATAAAAATAGAATAATCAGCTGAGACAGAGATCATACCCTTTACATTTCAGGCAGAGTCTATTTCTCGAAAGAGAGAGCTTCTTACTTGTTCCATTATACAAGTCCTCTAAAGAAACCTTTAGACTATGCATTACATCTTCACCCTGTTTCTTTCTACCTCTTGAACTACTGCCTCCTACAAAATTTGGGATCATTGTAAAATAGTAACAAGTCAATATAAGAATACCAACAACCAAGCTAAAATTGAAGAAAAAACTAAATAATTAGTAGCCTCGCACCACCAAAAGCTCCACCACCAAAAAGTTGTTCGAGTATATCGAATGGATTATCAGAAGCACCAGCTGCTCCCATTCCCTCTTTAAGGGCATCTTCACCATATTGATCATAAATTTCTCTTTTCTCTGGATCATTAAGAACTTCAAAAGCTTGAGCCAGCTCTTTGAACTGATTTAGAATAAAAACAAAGTGGTAATAAATACTAGATGTTTACAGAAACGTAATTGAGGTACTAATCAAGATATAACTTTGTACATTGTTATAATCCATCTTAATTCTAGGCTTTTGTTTTTAAAACAAAAATATATTTGATTTTGATATCAAGAGCAATGTGGCCATGGGATAAAAAATTTCCAACATGTCAATGAAGCATCGCACGATCTATGGTAATAGTACATAAATTCACCTTCTCGGGATCTCCACCTTTGTCAGGATGGTTCTTTATAGCAGCTTTTCTATATGCCTTCTTGAGCTCATCTTGATTTGCACTTTTTGAAACACCAAGAATCTCATAGTACTGGGTGTTATCACTTCTCTTTGGAGCACGCCTAAACATTATGGAAGCCCGTCAATGCAATTGCAGATGAACTACAAATCAAGTTGCCAAATTTAGCTTCACTCCAAGGTAGAGTAGGAAGAATTAATACTGTGATCTTAATAACTGCAAGTCAAATAATTCATACTAGATTTAGCAAGAAGGAAAACCCAAATACTAGCTAATATGTATAAACACTAAAAAAATAGCAAGAGCTAACATTATCCTTTTCCAACTTTAACTCAAAGCCACTTTACTAATGATATATACAGCAAGAGCTGGGTACGTATCTCCTTTGGTGCATTTATAAGACTATATGGGTACGGATGCAATGGGTACGTCGATGCAATACAATCGAAAAAAGTTAGGATACGGGTGTGGGTACAGTTAGGTACGTTTGTAAAAAATGTTTATTTTAAATTTAAAGTAATGTAAAAATTAGTTAAATGATTCAGGTTGTTACGATCCAACCTACAATTCAAATTTGATGCCAAAACTAAAGGTATAAATCAAAATTAAATATCATTATATTAAATAATTTATAAACCATAGCTTAATTTTTAAAATCACGTTGAGCATAATAATAATAAATAAAAAATTCCACAAAAACTAATTTTTACCTTCGAATTAGAAAGTTAATGAAACTAATCTTATAAACGCACCAAAGTAGATACATTCCCTTTTTCCAACTTTAACTCAAAGCCATTTACTAATGATATATAACAAGAGCTACCATTCTGCTCCCAATGAAGAATTCTGCTACAATTAAAGCTAGAATCCCAAGTCTGCATGCCAAACATTTGTTGGAAGCCCACATCACCACCCGCAAACCATTAGCGCTATCTCACTTTATTCACCATTAATAATTCATGAAACAGCAAAAGCTTCAAGGAATGTCAACACCATCCAAAGTTCCAAAAGAAAACCAAATTCGATTCCACACACAAAATTTGAGCAATGTACTCTTATAAATCTCCATTCATGAAAATTAAAATCTTGTTCAAAACTCCTTTAGCCCTATCTACCAGTCTACTTAATACATTCATCAACATAGCAGACAAACACAGAATAAAAACCAAGAGCGGCATACATGCACTCCTCCATTATGTATCCCATCTAATTCAAGGTTCTTTTTGGCAATGAATTCAAAATGCTTAGATTAAACAGCAACAAAACAAAACAAATTGTAGAATCTTTGCATGCCTTTAACTCATTTAAAACCCTAAAAGCCCAACTCTGAATGCATTTTAGGGAAATTCTAATATACACCTATGTAAAAAGGGTGTACCATATGCACCCCTAACTATGTCATTTTCTTCTTTAGTTATAATCAAATTTATTCTTTAGTTATGACATTATTTTAATTATGACTCATGAGTTCTATAGTTATGCCTTATATTGTGTTTAGTTATGACCCTTTTTTTTTTAGTTATGACTCAAAAAATTGAAATTTATCATTTTTCCTTTTAGTTATAAGGTGCACACCCTCACCATATTGTTTCCCTGCATTTTAATGATCTCCATATCTGCTATCCTTATCAAGGGCACATCAAAAACTAACATTAACCATTGAAAGTAAAACTCACCAATCAGGACAGCCTCTTCAACTAGAGATAACAATTGTCTAACTATCTATTACACACTCCCCACCAAACTAAACATCATCTATATTCAAGGAGATAGGGTAACACCATCTCAAAATTTCACAGAAATTTTACTCAAAACCCAATTAAAACACATAAACGTAACCTGCAAATCAAAGAACTCGATAAAAAGAAAAGGAACAAAACCCAATTTGATTTGAATTTAGAAAAAAAAGAAGATTTAAACCAATTAAAATCAGCAATGTTTTCACATACATGAATCTAAACAACTGTAGCACCATAAAAGACTACGAATCTCAGATACATACATGTGAAAACAAAGAAAAGAACATGCAGAGAATGAATGTGATATCAAAAGAATTGAAGAGGAGATTCACATACCTTGCTTACTAAGAATTCGAGAGAGAGAGAGGGTTTGCTTTGTGATGAAGTAGTGGGATTTAGGGGGAGAATAAACGATCAAGAATGGATGGTGACATAAGTGTCTGATTTGGTCCCACTTAGCAAGACTGCCTTAATTAAGAAGTAAAAAAATAGTATAATTACATTTGATGTCTCCTATAATGAAATAAATTCCAAACAGCCCCATATTTTTATGAAATTACATTAATATTTTTTTATTAGATTTTAGGGTAAATTACACTTTGCTCCTTTTATATTTGGTCATTTTTCTACCTTGGCCCTTGAATTTTTTTCCTTCTATTTTGACCCTTAATGTTTCATGTTTTTTTCTATTTTATTTCTAAAGTTAACTTATGTTCAGAATTACACAGAAAATGCAACATTAAATATCACATAATATAAAAAAAATGTTATTATATTAAAATTTGAGTTTGTGTCAGATGTGTAAGTTACATAATAAAATATTTTTATATCACTTGACTATCAATGTGTCATTTTTTTATCTAATTTTATACGTAAGTTAGTTTTGAAAATAAATTAGGAAAAACTTGAAACATAAAGAATTAATGTGAGAACAAATAAATGTTAAAGGTCAAAATAGAAAAATAGAGAAATAAAAATGGGACAAACAAAGTATAATTTATCCTAGATTAGCCAAATAAAAATGGGACAAAGTATAATTTATCCTAGGTTTTAAATAAGAATTAAGTGGGAGGAAAAGTTTCTATTGCATACCTTACACCCTTTTAGTTCACATTAATTTGATTTTTTTAATTTTTTTTTTATCAATTCACACTATTAACTTTGAAATAATATCAAAATATCTTGATTTTATTCAATTTTCAAATCCTAACCTATGGGGATATATTTTCTGAATACCAACACGTGGCATGGTGACGCCGACGTGTCAGCCGAGGTGCCACGTGCCTTGGTAGTTTATGCCGAGGTAATCACGGAGAAGCCGAGGTCATCTCCGAAGATATCGGAATCCGAGATAAAGGGCAAGAGTCCTAAGGGAAATAGGGGACTTAACCAAGATAAGGATAAAACTCTTAGGGAGTTTATCTTTATCTCTTGAAGAGTCCAGAATAAACAGTAAATTGGAATTCATAGAAGTCATACTTCTAGTAGGACTTGGATTAAGTATATTAGAAAAGAGAGGCACCCCCGTGGGTCTAAGGTATGTAACTTATACTTTGAGTATTCAACTTAATACTTGATTATCTTTGAGAGATATACTGACTTGATCGTCGGAGTGCCCCCGGGTGGAAGAACCACCGCCGGAATCCTAACCCTAACTCTTTTCCACCACCACCATTCCATGACACTGCACCACCTCTTATTCCCCTTCTTTTTCATTATTTTAATTTGGAAAATTTTCAATTCAATTGATATTTTAAAAAATAATTACAAATAAGTGACAAATTTTATAAGTATTAATTATTAAAATCATAATCTTTACCATGAAATTGTAATAATTTTTTAGAAATACCAGTGTACTAATTTCTCCTTTTAGTAATTTTATTAATTTAAATTTTGCACTTTTAATTTCGTTTTAATGTAGTCTGTCCTTTAATTGTCATTAATATTTTGAACAAAAAACAACATGAGCAAAATTAGAGGACTAACGTGAAATTCAAGAAAAAAAAAACTATATGAACAATAATTGCAATTTATTCATTTTTTTGGTTATGCAAAAATAATTAAAAAATTTATGTGAGTTACATGTGACTTTTTTGCCCAAAATACTGACAGGATAAAAATAAAATTCAAACTAACAAAATTCAAATTAGGAGAATCAAAATAAAATTTAAACATCACTCAACTTACATAGACAAACAATACTCAAAATATAATTTTGGATAAATTAAAAACTTGCCCCTAAGATTTTTTTAAAATATAGATTGTCCCCATATAATTTTGGAAATTATAAAGACTCCTGTAACAAAATTTGTCATTTAAAGAGTTGATAGAAAAATAAAATTCTTAACTATCCTTTTACGACAATGAATTACCAGAATTGCTAATTGAAATATATTGCTAAAATCATTAAATTTTATTAATTAACTTAACGATGAATTAATGAAAGGGATTATTTGTTATGCAATTTGAAATTTTAAGGAACATAATATAATTTTCAAAGTCACATAGAACAATTTGTATTTTAAACAAATTTCAAGATATATTTATAATTTATCTTATAGTTGGTCTCTACACCATCTATCACTTGACACTTGTAAAGTTGTTTCCCAAAAATCTAATAAAAAGTATTGACTGACACTATTTTAACCAATGAATATTAGTTGTGGTACAATATGGATTTATTCCGGGAGCAAAAAATAATTTATCCTACAACTTAAAAGTTAGATTATTTACACGGAAACCTCCTAAATTAATGGGAAATATCTTTGATCCTCTAAACTATAAAAGTGTAGAAATTGATCTTTTAAACTAATCTTTTAAACTATTGAGAAATATCACTTTGATAGTTTAAATCATAAAAGCGTACAAATGGACACCCAAAACTTTAGCATATTTCAATTTAACCACTTACGTTACACATCTTCTAAATTATTAAGAAGTATTACTTTGATCATTTAAATTACAAAAATATACAAATGAACCCCCTAAACTGTAGCGTGTTTCATTTTGACTCCTTTCGTTACTGCACGGTAAGTTAAACCAAACTTTTAAACTTTTTTGGAAAAAAAATATCTTTTAGCACTCTTTACAATTTCATTGTTATTGTTTCTTATTTATTTTTGTTTAAATATAAACATTCATCCATTATTATTGTTTTATTATTGTATTTTTAAATATTCTTTGTAAATATATTTTTATAGAAAGAATATTTAAAAATAATAATAATACTAAAAAAAATGAGAAAATGAGAAAAAATAAAAAAAAGTGTTATTGGGTGTTATATGGAGTGTTGAAAGATATTTTCATCTAAAAAATATTAAAATTTTAGTTTAACTCATAGTCCCGTAACAGAAGAGATTAAAGTAAAATATATTAATAATTTTAAATTTTTATTTATATATTTTTATAATTTAAGAGTCAAAATGATATTTCGTAATAATTTAAAAAGTTAGGCCTCGTTTGGGAACATACTAATTTAGTAATTTTTTGGCTATTTGGCTAAAAAGGTAGGTAAAAAAAATTTGTATGTTTGGGATGACTTTTTGGCTAATTACGAAAAGATATGCAAAAAGTAGAGAGAAAAGAGAATCTTTGACTTTTTGGTATGAGTTGTTAGTTTTTTTGACTAATTTAGTAACTTTTTGACTAATTAACTAAAAAAGTAAGTCCCCAAACTAGCCTATGAAGTTTACTGAGATCAAGGTAAAATCTGAGATGTCCATTGTGAAAGATCAGACGGCATTAATGTTTTGACAAAACATGGGCTGCTTCTGCATAAGAATGAACGGTGGTTACGTGGATGTTGAAACAGGCCTCCCGTGTGGTCGCCTTTGACTGCTCGACGACACAACGTCGTTTTTGGCAGGGTAGTGTTTTGGCCTATACAAGTTTAATTTCCATTAATTTTGAGTAAAATATACAAGTTTAATTTCCATTAATTTTGAGTAAAATGTCGTCAAATTTATTAAAATTATATTGATTTGTATCAATTTGTATCATTTTATTTGCTAATCACAGATTAAATTTTAAATTTTATAATTTATATTTAAAATCGTTTCGTTCCATTATAATTAATATATATATATATATTAACTTCTAATAAAACATTAAAGTAAAATTGAGTGTGACAGATATTTAAGACATAAAATTTGTTACAAATTAGTAGTTATATATAAATATAAAATAAATGTAAAATTAGTTTATGTTATATATATGAAAAATATTATATAAATTAGTGTTATATATTATGAAAATGCTTGATAATTGATTAAGAATATTCTTTAATCCGTCGTTCCGTCCCGAACCTCGATTTGGTTAGTTGTAAATCCTCCAATCCTCATTTAATTTATAATTTTAGTCTTGAACCGTCTGAACCGTATTATGTACACACACTCCTAAGTTTCATTAACCATTGATAGACGAAAGTATCACATTATAATTTAATGGATTAATTGAACTTAACACTCTGGGGCGCACAAGTCTTTGGGCAATGCGCTATACTCCTGTCGCAAAATTCTACGAACCTTGTTGTGGACTGGATCTAGAGCCCACTTTTTACCTCGGTGGGGGTCCCTTCCTTTAGGTTAGGTTAAATCTAACTGCCAACGGATTATTCTGGAGTCAGGACCTGTGAAAGTTATTATTCATAATACAATGTTGATTACATTTATTTACTAAAAATTATATATCACCTCAAATGTTAACATTATATTGTTAGTGATAAAAATGAACAAGTGTTGGGACTCATTACTTCAATAATACTATGCTAAAAACAAATCAGGGTGCTTAGTTTCAATTTTCTAAATTTAATTTTCTGAATATTCAGTTTTTTGTTTTTCGTGTTTTTTTGTTTTTAGTGCATATTTTTAAAATTTTAAACAATTTTTTTACTTTTTTAAATGCACCTTACTTTGATGTATTTAAATAGTAAGATATTTGTGAAAAAATAATTTAAAAAATTAATAAATACACAAAAATATGAAAAATGTACTGAATTTTCATATATATATATATATATATATTGTATTTTTAGTATTTAGTGAAATTTTTTAAGATTTTTTTCACAACTATTATACTTTTTAAGTATATTTATGTGTTTGTCTAAAAATTGCTTAAAATATTAAAAAAAATCATTTAAAATA